TACAGAAAAGCATAAAGAGATGAACTTTCTGTTCTTCTTTCTAAAAACTTGGACAAGTCCAAGTTTTTATATTGCACCCGCAATATCAAATTTTACAACCTTCCTAAATTGATTATTAACGTAAACTGTAGGATAATCAATGATTTTGCCAATCACGAATGATGCACCAGAGGCAAAGACTTCCACACTAAAATAGACATGGACGTATTCCTTTGCTAGATGACAAAGAAGTTCAACATTCGCTTTGCCGCGATACTGATTTGCGCTGTTGTAGGACGTTGTAATGAGCGGAACCACGACATCGGCTAATATTTTAGGTGGGTTGTCTTCGTGATTAAACGACTGCAGTTTATAGCTGAAGTGGGGTTCGCCATCATCGCTAAAGCTGAAGTCTATCAGCCAGGCCATAGCGTAGAAGGTATTCTCCAGCGCTAGTGTGAAGGTCCGTTTCATGTGAGGCGAAGTAAACACCCGCTTCTCCAGGTTGTGGTTATTTTCAGTATTATCTGCTGTTTTGGCCGAGTGTTCTTTTACAGGGCTTATCTGGACGGATTTCCACTCGGAACGTCTGGAAATATTGTCCAGAGGTTGATTCACATTGTTCTTGGTAGCTGGGGAGCTAGAACCTGTTGAAAAGAGAGCTGCAAGAGCTGTTGATAGAAAGATAGTCTTGAATTGAACCACTAGATGTACATTAGTACTTACGAAGGATGGGAGAAAAATATAACATACTGTTGGTAATTGTCTTTAACAAGGAGATTGCTAAGGTGGTGTGTAGAGTGTGTATAGAGTGCGTTGTGTAAGATATAGAGAAATATGACTATTTAAACTAGGTGACCACGAGGTGAGGAATGGATTAGGAGATAGATTATTAGGTATGAAGATGGAGCGTAAATATACAGATCTTATGCTTATGAATACGCTTAGCCTAAATAGGCATATCTACACTTGATATTAACCTAAGATACTATTCGGTAATAATTTAGTACAAAGTTTAGCTAGCTTGGGGTAGCAAATGGGGTTAATAACCTATCTTTACTAGCCTAGAAAATACCTACTAGTTAAGTAAGCTTATTAGATAGGTAAGTTTTCTTAGTAGGTAAGCTTCTAAGATAGGTAAGCTTACTAGACAGAAATGCATGCTAGATAGATAAGCTTATAAGATAGATAAGCTTACTAGATAGGTAAGCTTACTAGATGGGTAAGCTTACTAGATAGGTAAGCTTACTAGATAGATAAGCTTACTAGATAGGTAAGTAGGCTAGTAAATCTAGGTTAGTGTACACTAGCTATGGTACTAGGTTAGGTTTAGGTCGCACAGACTATAGGCTTAGGTTAGGGTTAGGTTACATAGAGTATAGGCTTAGGTAGGGTCTTATATATGTAGGTATTAATAGGCTTTAATAGGCTCTACTCCTAGAAATATAACTATTTATTATAGTTATTAATCACAGGAACTAACCCTATTAGGTAAAGCGTGTGGCTTAGTAAGACCCTAAGCCTAACCTAAGCACTAGGTCTGTGCGACCTAAACCTAACCCTAACCCACTTACGTAAGACCTAACCCAAGCCTAAGGTCTATGCGACCTAACCCTACCCTAAGCCTATAGCCTATGCGAAAATTTGTGGTTAGGTTTAGGTTAGGTTTAGGGTCTTATATAAGCTAACCTAAACCTTGCCTAACCTATACCTATTTATTACCCCATAGGTAAGCTTACTAGATAGGTAAGCTTACTAGATAGGTAAGCTTACTAGATAGAGAAGCTTCCTAGGTAGGTAAGCTTATTAGATAGGTAAGCTTACTAGATAGGTACGCTTACTAGGTTAGTAAGCTTCCTAGATTAGTAACCTTAGTACAGAGGTGGCTTTCAAAAGTTCTTGCTAGCGTATTTGTTAGCGGCTGATCTATTGGCCTAACTTTCTTGGCCCACACACACTCAATTTTAAAGCTGTAGATAGTAGTAGTAATAGTCTATCTACTTAATCTTTTAGTGTTTTTACTCTACTATAGCTCCTAATACTAATCCTTTACATGCCTACTATGCCTAACAACTAGTATATAAGAGAGAGGGAGTAGAGAAGCTTCTCTAGTGTGGCAATTCACCTAACCTTAACGCTATTAAAGTAGCCTGGCTATAGCTTAAGCGGAGAACTACTAGGAAGGGCGCTCTTAAGAGTAGAGCAGAGGGTAAGCTACCTTAACACTAAATCCAGGCTTAGATAGAGCGTATACAGTATCATGTTCAGCAGATTATTAGACTAGAAGGTGGTAATAAGTATAAGGAGGGGCGGCGCCACTAAGTAGTCTAAGCTTTGGTAGTATCACAGCGGTAATATCGACACCCCTGTTAGCAAGAACTTTTGAAAGCCACCTCCGTAGATAGGTAAGATTACTAGAATAGACCTATAGCTAGAAAGTGCTAATTGTCCTTACGATAATAGACTAATTACTCTTACCCTAAGTACTTAGTACTAGGTACTCTAACTACCTAGTAGATTTCCTAAATTACTAGTAAGCTAAGGTAGCACTAACTATATTGTACTTTCAAAACGTACTAGATAATACTATCTAGTAAGATAGCTATTAGGTACCCCCCTACCCTAAGTGTGTTAGGGTACGGTTAGGGTCCTATTAACCCTAGGTAGGGGTAGTAGAAGCTCTAGGTTAGGGTTAGGTAGGGGTAGTAGGAGCTCTAGGTTTAGGTTAGGTAGGTTAGGTAGCTGTAAGGTACATAGATTACCCCCCTACTTAGAATTTAGTACGTTATAAATGTATATTATTAAGTGTATAGTCTACTAAAATTTTTAGAGATTATATAGTATACTAGTGTATCTATTTGCTCTATAAAAGTATTACTATAGGCAAGTTATTATAGTAAGTTATTATAGTAAGTTATTATAGTAAGTTATTATAGTAAGTTATTATAGTAAGTTATTATAGTAAGTTATTATAGTAAGTTATTATAGTAAGTGTGGAAATTTGGATTATTGGTTTGTATCTACTACGATCGGACTCATATATATAGAGCTTCAGCTACCCTTACTAGAAGGTGAATGATCGGTAAACCTTCCTTACCAGCGCTCCTTCTTTTGTTGGGCACTTGGCACTAAGCTAGCAGTCGATCAGATAGTGGGTCATACATGGGTATTGACCAGGATTGATTGGGATTGATCGGGATCAAGATGCTCCATGATCCGGTTGTTATCCCTCCTGCAACAGTAAGTTATTATAGTAAGTTGTTATAATAAGTTATTATAGCAAGTTGATTAACTACAGTTAATAGATTCTTGTCTACCTTCGCTATTTCTAATGTAGAAGTTCTATCTCCTCTTTGCTATTAGAAATATCTACGTCTCCTAAACTAGTCATGTTATTAATCTTTTCTAATATAGTATTATACTCTAATATGGTTAGTTTAAATAGGGTATTATTGTACTCTTTATTTAATACTTCTATATAGTCCTTATTCTACTTAGTAAACCTATATTTAACTATAAGACGCTATTAAATTATCTAAGACTTTATATAATATATTTAATTACTAACAATATCTTTTACTATATTAAACATACGCTAACACTAACGCTTATGATAGGAATTACTAGGATATTCTTAGCTACCTAAGCAATCTAAGGATAAGTCTATTTATTCTCCTTCTACTACCTAAGAATACTAAGGTCTCTATGCCCTCTACTAGCAGTACTACTTAGAAACCTATTTTTTTCTTATCCTATTACTCTACTTATACACTACTTCCTATCCTACGGTTAGCTATTATAGCTTTTAATATACTCTAAATATAGTAAAGACTATAAACCTAATCTATAAAATAGTAGTACTATATTAGGCTTTCAAAACTACTCTATACTTTATAGACGTCTCAAAGGAGCGTAATACAAAGGTAGGTGTCTTATAGTATCTACGCTATTGGTATCTTAATTAAGGTACTATAAGAATCGCTTTTAATAGGTAAACGTATCTAATAGCTACTAGGAATTATCCTATTTAGTACAGTTCGTATTAAGCTATTGTAATAGACTATAATTAATAATACTATATACATAGTACAGTTTTATATAGGGTCCTAAATTATCCTATAATTTAATAAATATCGCCTCATGCCTAACATATTTTTATAATACCTAATAAGCTTTGTACAGCCCTAAATAGCCACCTTTTAAATAACCTCTAGCTATACTACTCCCCGTTTACTCTCTATATTATATTATAGTTCTTTAGTTATCTTTGTAAGAAACCTAAGGAGTTAATTATATATTAGCTATATATTCTAAATCTACGGTTAATATAAGGAGCTAAGCTAAGTAGTAGCCTCTTTAAACTTCTAGAGTATTTAGGTAATAAGCCTAAGTTAATACTATTTACTATAGCTAAGCTAGATTTATTTTGGATTATAGAAATCTACTTCTACTATATTTGTATCTCGTACTACACTACTTATATATATAGCTATTTTCTAGGTAATCTCTTAGTTAAGCTACTAGTTAATAAACTTCTAAAGGGATAGTATATATTTATATACATTATAGGTTAAGTTATATTATATGTTAACATGCTGGATAATAGATAGGCCTTTATAACCTAGAAAACCCTACTATAGGATAATAGATTTTTTAAAACGTTATAGTAAGTAATTAATAGCAATATAGATTGCGTAGAGCTTTGTAGTAGTTAGTTAATACTAAAAAGCTATATTCAAGCTTAATAAACCTTATTACGAGAGGTAGGCATAAAGAGTAGTATTATGGAAATTTAGATCTCTAAGGTTAGGAATAATTTAGGAGATGGATTATGAGATTATCTCTACTATAATTAGACTTATATATATAGAGCTTTAGCTACCCTTACTAGAAGGTGTATTATTAGTAAACCTTCCTTACTAGAGCTCCTTCTTTTATTAGGTACTTAGTAGTAAGCTAGTAGTTAATTATGTAACAACTTAGGTAGGTAGGGCATCCGAAAGGTATCCTATACAACTCAAAGGCATATAGGAGTGCGCGTCTATATAGAAAAGGATAAGATTCCTACACCTATAGGTCTTGTATAAAAGGACAAGAAGAATATGCCTATCCTAACTATAGGTAAGCTATTCTCTATATACATTAGTGAGTCGGGCCTTTATCAGGCCTAACTTGGCATGGAACAATAGGCAGGCAATTCTGCCTTATTATTACACTACCCCCTTCTATAGAGAAAGGATAGTCCCTATCCTTAGGATTAGGTTTAGATCCCTTATTAAAGAAGAGCTTTTTGCAAAATAATTCTACCTTTACCTCTGCCTTTACCTTTACTTCTTCTTCCTAGGGCACAGACCCCTATCCCTAGCCTATATATAACTAGCCCTTTACCTACTAACTTTCTTATTCCTATATCCCTAATTTTTTAAATATTTAACCTAATCTATCTAAAATCTAGTAAGTATTTAATCTATATAATTAAATAGTTACTAATCTAAATTAGAACCTTTAGCTATACTAGTACTAGTACTACTAGGAGTCTTCCCTATTGCTTATCGCGCTCTCTATATAAGAGCAGTTAGGGCTCTAGCTAGGGGCAGGTTTAATAATTTTAATTTTAAGTTAAAGAATTCTAAGAAGTGCTAGTACTATATCTCCTAGAATAAGTATTATAATCTAGTAAGTATCTAAGTCTAATAGGGTTCCTTCCTACTAATCCTAGCAGATTCCTTCTTTTATTAGCTAAGAGTACTC